TTCGAGGGTATGTAGGGTTTCAGTTCTGCAATATGGGAAAGTTCTGGAGATGGGTTACACAACAGTGTAACTATGCTTAACTCTACTGAGCTGTACGTTTAGGACTGACTAAGATGGCTCCTGTGTTCTTTACCACATGAGAGTAATAAAAAGTACTCAGAAGGTGAGCTGATGACAAATGCAGGAACTGACTGCTCTGTATGGAGGGCTCAGTTATCCCTAGCCACCCCTTTACCAAGTTGTGACTGCTTCCGGGTAACAAGTATTTCCAGTACTCTGCTAACCCCACATTGCACGCTGCTCTCCACACACAATTATTAACCATTTTACCCACAGGCGTGATAAATGGGTTCAAGAGTTGTAAGGGCTATATTTTATATGTTGAATAATACTTCATGGCCATATGACAATATATGTACCATCATCCATGTTCCAGCCAATGGAAGTACGAAGTGTATGAGACTTACTCGCTTTTGATGAGCACGCTTTCAAAGTGGTGAACAAAACCATGACAAGTAAACACACTACGGTAGATATAAAGCACAATCAACAGGAAGCAACAACTCATTCTGCTTTTGGAACAGTGTTCAGACTTCTTGGAAAGGAATATAGGACGATCCTCCCCACACACACCTCAAAAACCCACCCAAAATATGTCATGCTGGCAAAATTCCCGCTACTGTGCAGTATCATTTTCCATATTTTCACTTATAATATTGAAAGAGCATGTTATAGCAAAAATGTCTATGTTGGAGAAAAAAATAAGTTCTTGGCAAAATCGTAATGTATTTTTTATAATTTTACAGGATAGCAACCTTAAGTTGCTCTCATAGGACTGCCAAAATTTTGTTGTTTCCGGGAAGGTTTACACAAGAGACTCTCCTTAAAGCTGTTTGATGCACCAAGAAATCCACACTCTCGGGCTTAAAGTCATTAGCGTGTCTTATGCATATTTTCAAGTTCTTGAGATTTGATTTTGGATCAAATGAGAATTAAATCTGAAGTTTATCACTCTATTTCATTAGTAGGCCTCCATGACTGATGTGTATTTGGCAGATGTTAACTAATTTATAATCCTGTAAATAATGTTTGTCTTATACTACATTCAACCACTGGCTAAAAAAAAAAAATGCTGATAAGAACATATTCTCTGATAATCATGATATATCTACAGTGAGTATCCAGAGCTCAAGCCTTAAAAGCAATTACATTTATTTTTTAATAGACTTTATTACTTAGAGTAGTTTTAGATTGACAGTGAAACTGAGCAAAAAGTACAGAGTTCTCATAGACACCCCTCCCCAACACACACACACAACTTGTTCCACTACCAATACTCCACAGCAGAGTAGCCACATTTCTTTTAGTCGTGATCCTACACTGACACACCATTATCACTCCAAATCCACAGTTCACACTAGGGCTCCTTTTGGTGTTGTATATTCTATGGGTTTTGACAAATGTATACGGACATACATCCACCATTATAGTATTATACAAACTAGTTTCTATGTCCTAAAATATCCTGTGCTCTGTGTGTCCGTCCTTCCCTCTCCCCAATCCCTGGCAATCTGTATAGACACAGATCTTCACTGTATCTGTAGATTTCCAGAATGTCATATAATTGCAATCACATAGTATGTAGGCTTCTCAGATGGGCTTCTTTTACCTGGTACTATGCACTTAAATTTCCTCCCTGTCTTTTCATGGCTTGATAGCTCATTTCTTTTTAGCCCTGAATATTATTATTTCTGGATGGACCACGTTTCATCTGTTCACCTTTGGAAGGATCATGGTTGCTTCCATGTTTGGGCAATTATAAATGAAGCTGCTATAAAAGTCTGCATGCAGTTCATTGCATAGACACACATTTTCAATTCAGTTGGGTAAACAGCAAGTTTTAGCTGCTATGTTGTATGGTAAGAGTGTGTTTAATTTTGTAAGAAACTGCCTTCAAAATGGCCATACCATTTCATTTCCACCGGTGATGAATGGCAGTAGGTGTTGCTCTGTTCCCTCATCAGAATTTGGTGTTCTCAAGAGTTTTGGATTTAGGCTATTCTAATGAGTGTGTAATGGTATGTCATCATTTCAAACTGTAATTTCCTAATGACATATGATATTGAATATCTTTTCTTATGCTTATTTGCCATCTATATAAATTCTTTGGTGAGGTGTCTGTTCACATCTTTTGCCTATTTTTTAATTGGTTTGTTCATTTTACTGCCGGGTTTTAAGAATTCTCTGTATATTTTGGATAACAGTCAATCAAATGTGACTTTTGCAAATATTTTCTCCCAATCTGTGGCTCGGCTTCTTATTCTCTTGACATTGTCTTTCACAGAGGAGAAATTATTCATTTTAACGAAGTTCAGCTTATCATTTATTTCAAAGATCGTGCCTTTGGTGCTGCATCTAAAAAGTCATCACCATATTCAAGGTCATCTAGGTTTTCTCCCATGCTATATTCCAAGGTTTTTATAGTTTTATGTTTTACATGTAGGTCTAAGATCCATTTTGAGTTAATTTTTGTGAAAAGTATAAGATCTGTATCTAGATTTTTTTCAAGACATGGGTGTCCAGTTATTCTAGCACCATTTGTTCAAAAGATTATCTGTTCTCCATCCTATTGCCTTTTCTCATTTCTTAGAGATCAGCTGACCATATTTACGTGGGATTGTGTCTAGGATTTCCATTTTATCCCATTGATCTATTTGTCTATTCTCCCACCAATACTATACTGTCTTGATTATTGTAGCTTTATAGCATGTCATAACAAGGAGCAGCCTCAATCCTCTGTCTGTTCTTCTTCAATATTGTGTTGGCTATTCTGGCCTCTCCATATAACTTTAGGATCGGTTAATCAATATCCACAAAATAACTTGCTGGCATTTTGATTGGACTTGTGTAGATCAAGTTGGGAAGCTAACATCTTGGCAATACTGAATCTTCTTCTCCTTGACCATGAAATGTCTCTGTATTTTTTAGTTCTCTGATTTCCTTCAAAAGAGCTGTGTGATTTTCCTAATTATAGATGCTGTACATATTTTGTTAGGTTTATATCTAAGTGTTTCATTTTGAGGGGTGCTAATGTAAATGTTACTGCATTTTAATTCCACTTGTTAATTGCTGGTCTGTAGGAAAGCAATTAACTTTTGCATATTAATTTTGTATCCTGCAACCTTGATATTAGTTCCAGGAGGTGTCTGTTTCTTTCTTTCTTTCTTTCTTTCTTTCTTTCTTTCTTTCTTTCTTTCTTTCTTACTTTCTTTCAGATTTTCTACATAGACAATCATGTCATCTGTAAACAAAGACAGTTTTATGTCTTCTTCCCAACTGGTTGCCTTTTATTTACTTTTCTTGTCTTATTTTATAGCTAGAACTTCCAGTATAATGTTGAAAGGATTGGTGAAGGCCATTTATACTTTTTTTTCATATTTGTCTATCTTTAATTTTTTTCTATAAAGTGTCTTTGAGTTATATTTCAAAAGTCATCTTTCATTGAGTAAGAAGATATATGCTTATTTTATAGTAAAATGTTCTTCATTACTAATGAAATGCTTTCTTAGTAAGCTGAGGCAAAAAGACTTGAAAGAATTGGATAAAATTAGCAAGTGTTTTATTTTTAAAAAGAGAAAAAAGGGAGGTGCGCCTGGGTAGTTCAGTCAGTTAAGCATCTGACTCTTGATTTTGGCTCAGGTCATGATCTTGTGCTTTGTGCGTTCTATCCTCGCATCAGGCTCCACACTGACAGTGTGAAGCATGCTTTGGATTCTCTCTCTGCCACCCTCCTTCTCTCATTCTTTCTCTCTCTCCCTCTCTTTTTCTCAAAAAAAAAAAAAGTTAAAAAAGAAAAAGAAAAAAAATGGTACACCATGTGATATAAAAATTGAGTTTTAAAATTTGACTACTTGAGGGGCGCCTGGGTGGCGCAGTCGGTTAAGCGTCCGACTTCAACCAGGTCACGATCTCACGGTCCGTGAGTTCGAGCCCCGCGTCGGGCTCTGGGCTGATGGCTCAGAGCCTGGAGCCTGTTTCCGATTCTGTGTCTCCCTCTCTCTCTGCCCCTCGCCCGTTCATGCTCTGTCTCTCTCTGTCCCAAAAATAAAATAAACGTTGAAAAAAAAAATTTAAAAAAAAATAAAATAAAATTTGACTACTTGAAGGGCGTGGCGGTGGCTCAGTTGGTTGAGCATCCAATCTCGATTTTGGCTTAGGTCATGATCTTGTGGTTCGTGAGATCGAGCCAAGAGTTGGGCTTTGCACTGACAACATAGAGATTCTCCCTCTCTTCTTCTGCCTCTCCCCCACTCATGCTTTTCTCCCTCTCTCTCTCTCTCTCCCTCGCTCTCTTATTCTCTCTCTAAAATTAGAAAAAAAAGTAAGAACAGTATCTCAGAAACATAGCAAAAATTTGATTACTTGACTATAATTAATTTAACATGATTCTTCAAAATGACTTATTGTCAGACTGTGTCTACTGTTTATAATCAAAATGTCCAGAGCAAATGCAGAAACTCATTCTTTCTTCCTGATATCTATATTTTGAGGAGTATAGGCTACTGGATACTTCAAACACAAGCTCTGGAGTAAGACAATTCTTGGTAAAATCTTGCCTTGTCTGAATCCATTCTTCAAATAGTCTGATGCTATTAGCTCTCTATAATGAGGATAATGACATTGCCTACCTGGTGGGGCTTCTAAAGAATTAAACAAGACATTCATGGGAAAGAATGCTTAGTACAGTGCCAGGTTCACAGCAAGCACTCAGAGATGTTGACCATTATTATTACCACTACTTCCTGATGTTATTGGAATTAGCATATTTCTAGGATTCACAAGCAGCCAATTCAAAAGGCAGCTGACTTAGCCAATTCCATAAATCAGATCTCACTCTACTGCATGGCTCAGAACTCTTCCAGCGGCTCCCTTCTCATCAGGGTGAACCTTAAGATCTACCACTCTGTATGCAACTTGCCCCCATCTTGACCCCCTTATGACTTCCCTTCTTCTTTTTGTTACACACTCCTTCTGCCCCTGTCTTGGTGGCTTCCTTGCATTCCAAGCCTTGGATCCATACCTGGCTCTCTTTCTGCCTGAGATCCCTCTGTGGATGCTCTCCTGAAATGTCACTTCATCAGAAAGGCCTTCTTAGTACATTATACAAGACAGCACCCTTTCTAACACTCTCTACTCCCTTTACTCTGGTAAATTTTTCTCCAGAGGACATATAATTACTAGTTATTTGTTTCTTTGTGTATTACCTGCTCCCCAAGTAGAATGAGATCCAACCAGGTAGGCATTTCTTCTGATTCTATTTCCCACTACATCCTTGCACCTAGAATTATGCCTGGCACAAGGTGGAGATTCACTGACTTTTTGCTATGTGGTAAATTAACTGTAAATTAATGACAAATATTAGAGAATATTGCAATTTTTTCTCTAGGCCCAACAGCTTCATATTATCTGATTGTCAGGAGGTGATGAATGGCTCCTCATTAAGGAAAAAAAGATGTTACATGAGAACCTAGTTCATGCATGGGTACCTTGGAGCTCAGAAGTAGCTTACTCAATGTTCTTAATCAAATGCTTACAAATTAATGCATTTTATACATTCACAATATTTGAAGCAATATAAGTTCTTATTTAGGGTATTGTTACTCAGGAAACAGAAGTGAGCAGTGGGGCCGGCTGAGGGTAACGGGGCTGAGAGGCTGTTCACTGAGCAAGTTGAACATGAATGCCAGAGGGCTTGGATCTCAGCTAGAGGACAGCATTCCAGTTGCTGAACTTTCAGCAAGTGGACCTTTTGAAAGCCATGCTCTTCTTCAAAAAGGTCTTCCTTGTGTGAAAAATGAACTTTTGCCTAGTCATCCTCTTGAATTATCAGGAAAAAAAAAATTCCAGCTCAACCAAGATAAAATGAATTTTTCCACACTGAGAAAAATCCAGGGTCTGTTTGCTCCACTCAAATTACAAGTGGGATTCAAGGCAGTGCATCAGGTTCAGCGTCTTCCATTTCCTCCAAGCTCAAACCTTTCACGGGGTATTTTGAGGGGTCATGATGAGACTCTTGCATTTGAGGATATTCCTAATGACCCGTCACAAAGTGAACTAATGGGAGAACCACCCTTGATGGTGGAATATAAACTGGGTTTACTGTAATCTGTTGTGATGATGTTCATGAAAATAGAGGGGCTGCATCTTGTTTACAGTCCTCTTTTTACTATAATTTGATGTACACCACATTAAAAGTACTGACACATGAGAATTCTTGCCAAAATAGTGTCTGTGATCATTTGAAATTATTTGGGTCTTTGGTCTATTGCCATGTGACAATTGAAAGCACTCAAGGGAGATGGTTTTAAAACTCCCAATTTGGTGCCTGGGTGGCTCAGTCAGTTAAGCAGCCAACTTCGGCTCAGGTCATGATCTCAGAGTTCGTGAGTTCGAGCCCCCCATCAGGCTCTGTGATGACAGCTTGGAGCCTGGAGCCTGCTTCTGATTCTGTCTCTCCCTCTTTCACTGCCCCTCCCCTGCTCATGTTCTGTCTCTCTCTGTCTCTCAAAATAAATAAACATTTTACAAAATTAAAAAAAAACTCCCAATTTATATGAAAACAGTATATGTCTCTAAAAGACTGTTGCTAATGAGTATTTTAAAACTGTGTACACATCTACAATGCAACCTATTATCTGGGTATTCTATAAATTTAGTTTTGAAGCCATTATCAGCATTTGAGTCTGCAAACTTCATAGTCATGTCTTTCAGAATAAACTTCTGTAACTGATTTTAGTGGCAACACTTCAAATTAAGTACAAAGCAAAGTGTTTACAATTTACCTTGTTTCAGTATAGCTCATTAATATTCACAAGAATAATATTGGCTATATTGATGCTATTTTAGAATTATAGCTATTCTTTGATTCTTTGAGGTTGAAAGTATATGTTCAAGGTTTTGATTTTGATGTTGTCTTTAAAGTGAAAATTTAAGGAAAGCAACCAGGATATGTTGATTTAAAAAAAAAAAAAAAAAGGATATTGTTACTCAAATCATGGCTGCTGGAGCCACACTTAGAGCAGGAACCAGAGTGGAGAGAAATGCAGATTCTCAGCCTTGACGCCACATTGACTGGGCTGGCGCAGCCCTCACGGGACTCTGCTGAATGCTATGTCTTGAGAACCACTCCTCTAAGGGACACTTGGATGATCCATTTGAGTTCCTTGAGTCCCACTCATAAACCACAATATAACATGTCCTAGATTCTAAGTACAGATCATATGATTGCTTTGGTTATTAATGTAGAACATGACATTGTCTCTCATATTAATCCGTTATCTTTTGCCATCTTTAAATGCCTAAAAAACACCTTCCAGGGTTTCCGGAAGTTCAGATTCGTTTCAGCTACTTTTGTCGCTACCGCCCAGCTATTCACCCTTTAAAACCCTCCTGAGTTCAGCCAGCACCTAAATTCTTCCTTCTCTGATTTGAACACCCTAGAAACAAGAACAAGTTGGTTTATTTCTCTTAAATTTCTTTCTTTGAGGCAGAGTTTTTCAAACACGTTGTAACAAGGGATTTTCTTTTCCCAAAATGAAACATGCTATAGATGGGTTATATGTGAAACTGATAAATAAGAGACTGTGCTTGGCTGCCATGGGTTGGCTTGGTTTGTCCACTGTCTTCCCCCAACCTGCCTCCTTCCTCCCACCTAGTTGAGGCCACTAGGCAGGACCCACAGTTGTAAGGTTGGAAAACCTCTGCTATCAGGCATAGTTTCTCCGAGTGTGGTCAGCCCAGGATTTCTGGGCCTTTCTCCCACCCACCTGAATTAGAATTAGTTCTAAAATAGCAGGGAATGAGCATCCACAGGTGACTCTTCTGCACACTGGAGTGAATCATCGTTCTAGAAACTCTACACTGTCTTTTTTAGCAAAGAAAAATAATCATGTAAGCGCACGGTTTGCCCACAGTTGTTCCAAAGAATCCCAATCAAGAGACTAAATTCATATGAATACTGAAATTACCAAGGTATTTTAAAAAGTGTTGTCAAATAATTAAATAAAGCATTAATTCTAAAAGTTAAATATACAGAAATTATGATGTATGCCTTACTACATTGACCATTTTAAATAATTTAGTAAACATTTGTCACCAGTCTTCTAGGAGATGTTGGGGGAAACTATAATGAACTAGATGGGCGTCCTGTCTTCAATAAGAAGGAGTATATGCTGAGAACCTGTATATAAGTCTTATACCTGTAGAAGGTATAAGACTTCTGAAAAGGAGATGATTCTTCCCAGGTCTGAAGATGAAGGGATGACTTTTTGTAGTTCAATTTTAAGTTTAACACAGAGTTAAGTCTTAAAGTTGACCTGGGACAACCCATCTCTCCTTTCCCTGTCCTTTCCAGATTCTACGAAACTAGCACATGCCCCTCACACACAGCATGCAGGGTTCCAGCAGAGCTCATTCCTGGTCTGGGGCCGGGGCAGGGGGAGGGGAGAATCCCATAAGGATGCCACCCCTGCCATTTACCTGGTGCATCCACAAGTGGTACATTGGCCAGTCCCCAGCCCTGCAAAATTCACACAGGTAACAGGCCACCAGTCAGTGGGCTAATGAGAACAAGATGATCAGAGAGAAGTCAGATGTAACCGGTGGAGGTTGATGTGGGAAGTCTAACTAAACAGTCTCGTCATGGAGCATACAATAATCTGAAGGCTCCAACTATGGTGGTGTTGGCATTTTCAATATTGCATACATTAATAAAAGCTTATTTAATCTCTTGTTTGGGTTGAAAGAATTACACATTTCAATTAAAAATATGAAGTGGATGTTAAACATTTTGTAGAATTTTCTGAGAGCCTACTGGTATCTAAATCCCTATGGTAAAAGAATATTTTCTTAGCTAAAAGGATTATGGTCTAGAAAGACATAAACTGAAGGTAACAATAATTTATTTATCATTATTCATCATTTATTTATTCATCATTAAATAAAACTGAAGAAGACTAAAAGCAATTTTATAATAAGAAGAAAACGTAAGATTTGCTTTTAGTCTTTAGGTAAATACCACTGATGAGATGATACAGTCAGATACATTAAACTGATTGAAATGTGTGAATAAGTACAAAGGATAATTATTCTACTAATATTATTAATGTTCAGATGATAAATATAAAGGTTTGATCTTGCTCTAAAGAACATAATCTTTTTTAATTTTTGAAAAAAATTATTTTTTTTGAAAATCATACTAAATAACAAGTTCATTTTTTGCTAACATAATGAATCCTATTTGTTGACCCATAAATAAATATTTCAAAGGTATATAAATATATAGTTTAATTATATTTAATGTATATTTTAACTCTCAAATATATCCTGCTTGGGCAAAGTACATTATTTGGTTACCCCGCTAAACAATAGATGTAAATGTTTTGGATCTTATGTTTTGAAATTTTGCATCAACTGTATCTTACTGAACATTATTTGCAATTTACAACCCATTATAAGAATGCAACATTAATGGGGCGCCTGGGTGGCGAAGTCGGTTAAGCGTCCGACTTCAGCCAGGTCACGATCTCGCGGTCCGTGAGTTCGAGCCCCGCGTCAGGCTCTGGGCTGATGGCTCGGAGCCTGGAGCCTGCTTCCGATTCTGTGTCTCCCTCTCTCTCTGCCCCTCCCCCGTTCATGCTCTGTCTCTCTCTGTCCCAAAAATAAATAAAAACGTTGAAAAAAAAATTAAAAAAAAAAAAGAATGCAACATTAATTATTTATCCATCCTCCTATTTAAAGACAGCTATGTCATTTTTTTTTTAAGTTTTTAATTTTTTTTTTTTTTTTTTTTTTTTTTTTTTTTTTTGAGAAAGAGAGAACATACACCTGTGGCTCATGCATGAGCAGGGGAGGGGCAGAGAGAGAGGGAAGAATCCTAAGCAGGCTCTGCACTCAGATAATGACCTGAGCCAGAACCAAGAGTCAGACGTTTCACCGACTGAGCCAACCGGATGCCCCAGCTTTGTCATTTCTCTTTATTCACAAACTTCAGGGGTCCCATGATGGTCTTCTACATGGGTGTCTCCTCACTACTCTGAGTTCTAGAAAATGCATATCTGGAAATCCATTAATGACTGTGAAGCTGTGCATTGCTCTCTATGATGGCTGAATCAATTAACATCCTTATCATCATGTACCAAAGCACTTTCTGCCCTAAATCCTAACCAATACTTGGTATCGTCAAACTTTTAAATATTGGCCCATCAGGTGGGCTGCAGCGATACAATATTGTTGGAATATTAATTTCTCTGATCATTAATGAGATCTTGAATGTATTTCCATGTTAATTGATCACTGTTTTCTCCTAAATGTCATTTTATCTACTACTTCGGTTCCTCCTGTTTTTGTACCCATCAAACTAATCAATGTTATTTTTTATATCAATGTTCATTCAGACTGATCCATATTTACCCTTGTATGTTCTGAGCAAGGTCTCTTATATCTCTTTTGGTCACCCTGGGTTCAAACCACCCCTCCCTGTTGTGAATAACATTCTTTCAGACTGAGTACAAATACTCTCAGTGTTTGTCTGAAAGCGTCTTTATTTGCTTTTCACTTTTAAGCAATAATTTTGTAAGGTATTTTAGGGTTAGAATTCTAATTTAACAAGTATATCCTCCTCAGTCATTTGATATGACTCCACTGTCATTTTTCTTCCATTATTTCTGCCAGGATCGATTCAAATTATTACTGCATTGCAAGTAATCCATTTTCTTCATTTGATTTTAAGATCTCTTTTTCCTTGTTCTTTTACTTTCTTTACTTTAAATTTTTTTTTAAATGTTTATTTATTTTTAGAGAGAGACAGAGACAGAGCGTGAGTAGGAGAGGGGCAGACAGAGAGACACAGAATCTGAAGCAGGCTCCAGGCTCTGAGCTGTCAGCACAGAGCCCAATGCAGGGCACGAACCTATGGACGTGAGATCATTACCTGAGCCAGTCAGATGCTTAACCGACTGAGCCACCAGGTGCCCCTAGTCTTTAACTTTCTTTATAAAGTGAATTTATTTTTGTTTATCTTGATTAAGACCAACTGAGTGGAGGTTTTTTTGTCTGTTTGTTTGTTTTTGCTTTGTTTTGTTTTATCATGCTTGGGACCGTGTACTCTTGAATCAGGATTCTCAGTCATTCTCTTATTAAACTGTCTCTCTTCCATTCTGTATTCTCCTATAATGAAATTTTTATCAGAAATATGTTTAGCCATCTCGTTCTAAACCCCTAGTCTCTGAAAAGCATTGTTTTACCTTTTAATCTATACCACATTATGGAAAAATTCCTTCATATCTATCTTGCAGTTCACAAATTCTCTTTGGCATTGATGAACTTGCTGTTTTAACCCATCCACTGAGGATTTTTTTTTAATTCCAGTAGCTAAAATTATGTTTTATTTAATAGCTATATTTTTCTATTATGTTTGTTTTCTGATTTGGGTTTCTATTTTTTGTATGCTTTAATTAACATAACATGTATGTGTTTTGTGTTTTGTTTCAAATTGTTGTTTTATTTTCTCAAGTTTTAGGGGAAACCAATCATATACATCATGCACACCATAAATCTGAGTCTGATACTTATATTAACTTCCCATTCTGGATCACACAGGAACTGCAAAGGTTTAGATGTATCTCAGTTTCCTCCACATATATATATTTTTTCATTCTGCTAAGTGCTCAGTGTATGTAAAGGACAGCCTTCCTCCCCTGAACAACCTCCTGAAGGCCACCAGGGTATCAGCTCATGCACCTAAATTCTGGGTTTATCCATTCCTCTATACAAAGATAACTGCTATGTCTACTTTTTCACTTGTCCTTGGAAATTTTTTCTTTTTATAATCTCATCTATGATTTTTTAAAGTTTGTTAAATTTTACTTAGTGAAATTAGCAGGAGACATTTCATATTATTTTAAGCCTCCACCTTGCTAGTTCCTGAACTCTGTGACACTGTGAAATCCACAATGGCCTCGAACTGCCTATGTCCTCACTCATTGTACGTGAGAGAGAAATGCACATATAACTTATAAAATCAGTTATCATTTTGTGTTTTCTGTCACACATAGTCAAAAATAATCCTGATATACCTTTGACTATTTAGATTGGAAAACAGAGGACTAAGGGAGACACATTAATATTGTCAAAATAACAAAGGAATTGCCATCCTTGCTAAATAAAAGCACTTTTGAAATGGGTTGCTACGTAGACAGAAGGAACACCCTTTCACACAAAGGGTGTTATTGACATTGTAATGGGTTGCCTTGGCACCTGCAAATGACTAGAATTGCCTCTATACTTCTCTTTCTGCTTTTTAAAATTTCTCTACATCATCAGAAACATAATAAACCAAAATGTATTTTAGGGAAATAAGAAATAGAAAAGGGAGGCAAACGTTGAGAAGGACATACATGCACCTTCATCACATATTCTGACCCAAGCACAATACATCACATTTCCACCCCACTCCTAGTTTCTCAAAATAAATAAAAATAAAGTAAAATGCTATTATCATGGTCCTGACGTCTCCTCCATCCCTCACCTTCATTCTCAAGCTGAAAACCCTGTTTTATTGCATTTATTAAATGTATTCATCTCAAATTTTATGGCCAAGTACCGTCCTCCCAGCGATGTCTCCCTCCAGTAATCTAGAACTTACCATGAACCAACTATGCACGTGTTGAGGCCCTTCTCTGTGGAGACCTGCTACACAAAGTGCTCTACTAGCCACAGACTGAGTCTGTACAATTACCTGGCCTTCCAGCTGGCAGGGTCTCCTCACGGTCATTATTCAGGATCACAGCCAGACCCACCGAGTGCGCAGGGAGGACCGAGCTGCTGAGGTCCACACGGGTCAAGCTCTCAGGCTCTCTCCTCGAGCCCTCCAGGGCGTTTTGTGGGCCGTCACTTCCTTCCCTTTCTGGGCCTTTTCTCCAGGGTCTCAGCACAACATGAACGATGCTCTGCTGGTCCAGGTCACAGCTCTATGTGGGAGCAAGGCAGAAACAGACCAGAAGGCGCAAGCTTTAAAATGCCAAGTAAGGTTCGCCTTGACCTCCATCCCAGAGTACGTGAAAGACTCTAAAATCTGTTTAGGTCCAAGGCTGCACGAAATCACGGAACTTAAGAAAACAGCCATGTGTGACTGATCACGTTAGATACACTTCTCCTGTCATCAGGGCGACAGAACTCACACGTGTGTGTGTTACGCACACAACACTGTACTGGGGCCACAAACTGAAATGTGGGGATAAAGGGAACAGGGCGATAGAAAACTAGGGTAATATCCAAAGCGACATGAAATGTAGCAGGACAAAAAGGAACCGCACTGCATACAGCAGCACAGTGAAAAGCAGTATTCTTTTAAAACTGGTTTATTTCAGAAGTGATGTGATAGTGATAGTCCTCCCAACTATCAGATATAAATACTTGCATTTGTCTCCATTCACAAAAGCTCAGAGAGTTGGTTATTGTCAATTACAGGGCATCTTTCTCTACAATTTAAAATTACTGTGTTTATGGTAAACTCCACACGCACCCCCATGTCACCGGCAAACACATAAGCACGGCGATGGGGAAGCAGGGGAACGGCAGACCCAGGCCACCCCAGCAGTCATCCACTGTTCCTGCCAATTTCACAATTAACATCAGTGACCATTTGCAAAAATGTTCTGGGTCAATATATTGATGTGTATGAACAGGAGACTTGAAAATTTAGTAGAATTAAAGTTAGAAGTCAGCTAATTTACTAGGACAAAAACTAGACTACCTGAGATCAAGGCCAGGTCTCAGAATACCTAATGGAGGGGGCACCTGGGTGGCTCAGTGGGTTAAGGGTCTGATTTTTTATTTTGGCTCAGGTCATGATCTCATGGTTCCTGAGTTTAAGCCCTGCATCTGGCTCTGCATTGACAGTGCAGAGCCTGCTTGGGACTCTCTGTCTCCCTCTCTGTATGTCCCTACCCTGTGCACTCACTCTCTCTCTTGCTCTCTGTCCCTCTCTCAAAATAAATAAATAAACTTACAAAAAATAGAATAGCTACTGGATAGAAAGTCACTCATCTGTCTGCAGAGAAGACCCCCAAATTTCGATATCTACAAACTACCCGCTGTCACTCTCTCATCATAGCAATCAATGTTCAAAGGACACCCATGCAAACACAGCGATACTAATAACAATCACAACTGGCCCCCTGCCCCCCTCCAGTGTTCCACCATTGCACCAGCAAACGTTTAAGAGTGACACCCACCATGTGTCAGCATTTCCTGCAGCCACACAGTTGTGGACTCAGAAGGTCACCAGGTGACCACCCCAGGTCCTGAATCCCATTCCTACCTCTTCCCCATCCTGGGTTCTGAACCACTGCCATGGGGACACACTCACTCTCCCTGCCATCTGTCCTCACAGCTCTGTGTGTCAGGACTGCTCCTACTCAGCAGTGGTCACTGGGTCATCAATCTCTGCCCCCTTGGCCTGCCCCCATGTAATTACTCCATTTCTGTCAAAGCACCACCCTCCCCCATGGTATCTAGCGTCAAGCCCTCCCTGCCCCCCTTCAGCTCTGATTATCCTCCTGTGTCTTCTAATGGCTTCGGTAGAATCACCACCTTGAGCTCCTCCGCCCTTCCCTTACATCCAGCAAGGACTTAGAAATACCCTTCACATCTTCCACTCCCTTACTTCCTAATTGTCATCTCCCCATTTTAGCCCTTCATCATCATAGGAGCTCTGCAATTGCTCCCTGACCTCCCATCTCTCCCTATAATCCATTATGTGCAAGTTTCTGGGGTATGCTACACAATCTTTTAAGATGTCTCACTATCAACTGTTAAAAAGAATCTGACAGCTCATTACCATCTTCAGGTGTGTTTAGACTTTTCTCCTCTCTAGACCACCTGCCTTATGATTTTATCTCCTTTCCCTCTCCTTCACTGTATACATGATAGATTAGGTTTCTCATCAGAGCTATTCACTCTCATCTCCCCTCCTGTCCTTGAGTTGGGCTCAGTAGCATGATTGGTTTTGCCCAACATGATTGAACCAGGGCCCTGAAATGTATCTGCACCACTGCTGGGGCCAGCAATAGAGCACCCTTGGGTAGTTTCCACCCAAGTGCAGCAGTACCCACAGCTTGGGCACAGCCTTCCAGCTGGATGCAGGCTGGCCCTGCAGGCCCCCAGCTGACCTGAAGGAGATGTTTATCAATGCACGGCACTGAGATTTTGTGGTTGTTCATCAGGCAGTAATAGCTGACAGTATCTATTTTCCATTCTAATTGGACTAACAGACATTCTATCACTATTCATCATGGCCGCCTTGTTCAGCTAGAACTCTAGGAACTGTACATGGCCTTTAGCCTGGGTTATTTCAAATAAACCAACATCAAGAGCTGGAGTACACTTGAGTGGGCATGTGGGGCAGGAGCTTTGCCACAAGGAGAAACAGCAGAGAATCAGTATGCCAACATCCCCTGAGGCTTTTATCTCTAGTGTGTTCTTTTCAAGGAGGCTCAAGAATTCAGTCGGATAGAATTCCTCTAAGTTCAGGACTTATGTGATCCTCTCAGATAAAAGTAATGCCTTTCTTCCTCACCTCAATGCCAGAAATCTGCCTGCCATGCTCTTCTTATAGCAGTGGTCACAGCATGGGCAGTATTTGTGTGTGTGTGTGTGTGTGTGTGTGTGTGTGTGTGTGTGTGTGTGTGT